TTGGAGGCAGGGAGGAGGATGGGCTCCTAGAAGAAAGGACACAGGGTTAGACCTTGTGGAAAGGTGGGCTTCCGTGGGCACTGGTGGAAGGAAGAGGGTTGTGCGTGGGATAACGTTCAGTCAGTGTGAAGCTTCTTTGTTTCTGGGTTTACCTTCTTTCTGCCAATGTTTCCATCCCTTCTAGAGAACTTCCCCTTTCAAAAAACAATATAGTTTTATATTCATTTCTATGATCGCTTAACCAAATTTTTCCAAAAGTTGCTCGATAACATAGGGGGTTGGAATTTACACACCGCTGCTGAGATGTGCAGAAACCACGTGGGGTTACCGTCTCGCTGACCACACCTGGCCCTGGAGCCCTCGTTCCTGCTGTCGTGGTGGGTGGGGCGGGAAAGGAGCATTTGACGTGAAAGGTCCAGTTCAGGGCGACTCAGCCTTTTTAGGCTCGAAGGAGCTTCTGTGGGAACGAGTGTTCAGTTCACTTAAACAATCAGTCTCTTAGGATTACTTTTTTCCTTTCATTTTTCAGGCTTGCCCCCATCTCCTCCTTCCTAGGGCTGCTGGGTCCAGGGGGCAGCATTCCTAAACCCACAGGCAGAAGTGGAGGTGGGAGGGGGCCAAGCATCCTCTTGGAGGCCTCGTGCCAGGCTGGTCACCAGTGGCTGCGTGTGCCTGTGAGGGGTGGGCTGCGTCTGCTTCCCAGTGGCCACCAGAGACCCTGCCACTTGCCCTCTCTGAGGACCCTGTACTCCCAGACCCTCTCCTCTCCACTTGCATCTCTGGGTTCACCTCCAAGGGGACCCCAGCTGGGTCTCCACCCCCCACGCCCTGTGAGCTCTGCCCAGCCCCAACCTAAGCAGCCGGGACTGGTTCTCAACATGGCCCTAGAACATGGGGGCCCTGCAGAACGTGGGCTTTCTCTGAGAAACCTGAGTTGTCCCTGACACAGGCCTGCTGCACCCCCCGCCCCCTTGAACATTAGTGTTTAATCTTCAAGAAGGTTCAGTTAAAACATCAAGATGGTTTGGGAAGATGTGAATGCCATTGATTCTGTAAGTGGCAGAATTGCAGGGAAACCAGGAACTTTGGGTTATCAAAGGTGCAAATCCACTGATTTAATATTTGCAAAATCATCCCGGTTAGAGCAGAAACTCAAAATAAGCCAGTGTTTCAAGGATAAGTCAGACAGAGTTCTTATCCTTCTTCAAGGATAAGAAGACACAGCACCGCTTCTTAATTTACATTTGAAATTCTGTACATGACAGGATAATGTTGATGATGTATAAAGAGTTAAATTCACCTGTAGTGTTTTGTTGTTCACCGCTTAACCAAAGCCACCGATAACCTTCAACCTTTGTAACTTTCTTAACTGTAAGTCAAATTAAAACATTTTTAAGTTTTACTATATATGGACGTAGAGGTGAAAAGAGGAAGGTTGCTATCCAGTTTCCTGTTTAGGTGCTGTATAAATATTTATTTACAAAGGACTTACAGTAGAAAAAAAAAACTTTTAGTTCTATTTTAGTTTTCTATGTTTCATTGATATCACCAGGGAATTAGGTTTTGGCCACAAAATAAGAATTAAGTTGATTTCCTGCTCATTTTCCAACAAATACTCAGGGCAGGCTGACTGTGTCTTCAGCCCTGTGCGAGGAGCTGGGTGTACAGAGGTGGAAAGACTCGGTCCCTGCCATCAGGACGTTTAAGGACGAGTCATCCAGGTCAACTCTACGTGACAGAGGTTATGATCGGGATGGACTCCAGTGCTATGGGATGTAGACAGAGCCCCAGGCCAGGAAACAGGGGGTCAGGGCAGCTTCCTCACTGAGGTGATGCCTCCCCTGAGATGAGATGTGGAGTAAAGCCTGGAGGTAGGCGGAGCAGGTGCACCTGGCGTTCCTGGAGCCTGCAGGTGCAGGCCTGGCAGCAGGAGGAGCTACTTCCTAGAGAAGTCTAGCAGACATAAGCAGGAAGTAGGCCTCTCATTCCAGCAAAGCACACAATTCCATGGGGTCCAATGAGGGGGTGGCCAGGAGGGGGGCCAGTGCCGGAGAAAGGACTTGTCTGAAATTCTTCCTGGCACAAGTAACGTGTATGTGCGTGCAACAAAGGGGCCTTCCAAGGGGAGCTCCCAGGGGCGTGGGGCCCGGTCACCTTCTTTCTACAACGCGCACAGGCGTGCAGGAGGTCCTTTTCCATCAGAGCCTAGCTCCCGAGCACAAGGGATGGGCAAAGCTTGGGGCACAGTTGGAATTGGTGGAATCTGCCCCTGAACTTGAGATTGGCATTCAGAGGCATTGAATATTATCAATCACGATGTCGCGTGAATCCACTCTGTGAACTGGTACTTCTCTGTGCCTCAGTTTACCCATCATGTGCTTCTAACCTCACGGGGTCTATTCCACAGACTCATTACTATGACTTTTAAAATCTTACGTTGTTTTCTTATGTTATATTGGCCAATACTTTAGTTATCACATTGAAACATCTTAAAAAAGAAAGAAGGAAAGAAACAATCACAATAATACATTGAATTTTCCCAAAAAAAAGAAAAGAGAGAACAGAACTGTGGTGTCGTTAGAGGTGGGAAAGGCAGAGGGGGAGGGGGTTAGCCCAAAAAAAAAGAGAGAACAGAACTGTGGTGTCGTTAGAGGTGGGAAAGGCAGAGGGGGAGGGGGTTAGTGAGAAATTAGTCAGGGGTCACAAAGACCTGATTACATTTTGTAAACATAAGTATACTAAGTATCCTGATTCGATCACCACGGATTGTACACGTGTATTGGTATTCAAATATGTACCACACAAATATATAAAATCAATTCTGTTTCAATCAAAAAGAAAGCCAAAATAAATAAATAAATAAACGAACACCTTCTTTACTGCCAGGCTGGCTGAGGGGCAGCCCGGTCGACTCAAAGCAGCCCGGGGTCTGAGAGCCCGCAGCGCCCTCTGCTTGCATTTACCCTCCCCTGCATATGGTCTCCCACTAGAACATGACCCGGTTCTGTATGAGAAAGTCCTTTGTAAACTCTAGAGCTCTGTGTAAGTCTATGTAAGTGGCGTCGTTACTATTCCTCCTGTTAGAGATAACGAGACAGCCACGCAGTCCGCCGGTCCTAAGCTGGTCAGAATTGCTGAGAAGGTGGGCAGCACGCTGGGCCTGGCCGTCTGTCATTCCAGGTCAATCCACAGGTCGCAACTGCGTCACAGTTTACTACCACCGGAGAGTTAGAGATGAGAATTCATACGAGGATGACGTTCACTAACAGATGACACAGTGGAAATAATTGTAAAGATGGAAGAGAGGAGACATCCATTAGAATTCCTTAACAGGTTTATTTTTCGTCATATGTATTCATTTATTTGAAGGTATATTGAGACTTTAAAAAGAAAAATGAGCATTTGCATACTTGTTATTTATCCTGCTCAGAAGTTCATTTTAAAAAAATGTGTTTGGGGCCAGCCCGGTGGCGCACTGGAGAGTGAGCTGCTTGGGAGTGCGGTGGTGCTCCTGCCGAGGGTTCGGATCCCATGTGGAGACTGGTTCCCGCTCACTGGCTGAGCGCAGTGCGGGCGCGACCCCGAGGGTTGCGATCCCGTTGCCGGTCAGTAAAAAAAAAGACAAAAAGGAAAAAAAAATGTGTTTGGAATCTACGTGATTTGTCATGACTTCTGGCTGCTAAACAGATCCACTGTCAAAATAGGATCATCCTGCCCTTGTTTTTTATGTTCTGTCCTTCAGAATGCTGCTCACGTGGAGTTACAATTCATGTTCCACCTGCACTGGTGTTCTGAGCACTGGTGTGTGCACGGGGCTGTGCTA